AGGTATCAAAGTGTCCACAATGGAGTGGGATTATATGCAGATAATAATGAACATTGAAGCTAGGAAATATATGAAAGGATATATACATTCTGAGGAAACATTTGACACTTATAACTTCATAATGTTTGTCTTGTAGGTGGTGGAGTGGACTTTATGCAAATTAGACCTACTACAGTATGCAGATAAACCCTCACAAACATACAGTGGAGGAAATAAACGTAAACTATCAACTGCTATTGCTGTGATTGGTAATCCAACAGTATTATACATGGTGAGTTCTGAAAACATTACATCAATTGTGTTTTTACTGTGATGTGATCAAAACAGTTTTTTTTAGATCCAATCTTTTTATTAATTCTTTCATCATTCTTGAACATTTCAAATCAAGATGGCTGACATGCCCATTTGGTCCTAAAATATGCTGCATTCAAATCATAATTTGACCAACTCAAACTTGGCAAAATGCCAACACATGATTGGTCTTTTTCTAATAATAAAATAATAAAGATTGTAATTTTGTGCATGTTTCAGTTCACTAATTTTAGTCATTTATCAAAGTTGATTTCAGAAGTAGGAAAATATTATTGATATAAATTATTTTTTGTTATGATTTGTTTATGTTGTGACCAATATTGTTAATTTTGTCATTATTAGGATGAGCCGACTACCGGTATGAATCCACAGTCTAAACGTTTCCTCTGGAAAATAATATTAGATATTATTCGAAGTGGTAGATCAGTGGTACTAACATCACATAGGTATATATTATTCATCTAAATATTGTAAAGCGCTTTTAATTTTATGAGCCAAAATATTTTCACAAGGTGATAAAAATTGCTTTACAGTCACTTTTGCAAAATGTTGTCCTTGTGAAAGCCATTAAATCATCAAATTGCAAAACAAGAAGTTATAATAGTATTTTTGACTGTACTATATTATATTTAAGATGTTACATAATAATCTGAGTAATGAGGATTGTTAAAATGTGACAGAAGTGGAGGCTATATGGTCACTTTTAATATACAATTCATGGTTTATAGTCTTTGGTGTACAACAACATCTGATCAACTGCATGCTTATTCAAAGCGTTGAGTGGAAACCCAAGAAAACACTAAACCAGTTGAAAAACACTAAACCTATTGAAAAAGACTAAACCTGTTGAAAAAAACTAAACCTGTTGAAAAAACACTAAACCCTTCGTAAAGGGCGAATTATGGATATACCATGATCGTTCAGTATATTAAACACTCTTTAATTAATAAAAATGGCTTACAAAATGTAAAATTGATGTCAATCAACACGTTAACTTCTTTGCATTATTGTCAAACACTGGGCTATATTGGGTATATATCATAAAAAAAAGCCGCCTCGAAAATGACCCTGACCATGCTGGAATTTTTTTAAAAATTCCTCGGAAAACAGCACATAACTAAATGTATTTAACCCAGATTTAATACATATAATAAACTTAATAGTTTAGATTACATTGAGGGCGCCCTTGTGAAATCAGCTGCCATCGTGGGTTCTGTTTCATGTTTTCGCTTTCTTTTAATCAAATATTCACTGGACGATTATGGTACACCCATAATACACCCTTTACCTCGGGTTTAGTGTTTTTATTGTCAGGTTTAGTGTTTTTCGACAGGTTTAGTGTTTTTCGACAGGTTTAGTGTTTTCCGGGGTTTCCACTCAACGTATTCAAAGCATTATATGATCATCAGCCAATCAGAGCTTGTGTTACCGACCACTTACAACATAGCCTGTTTTAGTAAGACTAGCTTTAATTGGTGGACAATTAAATCTCACAAAAGGAAAGCTGTTAAACATGATGATGAGCATATGTAGTTCGTCATATGCAGTTTGAGCTATGTACACCAGAAGCCGGAGTCCTCTACCTACATCATATTTCCATCAGACTGTAATTTATGCTACTGTGGTGGTCATTTCTATTAAATGTGACAGTGTTTTAGTAAATAAATTATAGCTGCATTTCACTAAAATTGTTGAAATCTCAACCAAGAATGATTGACTAATAATTAGATATATTCAACATGTTTATTGTATTCTGTACTAATCAGCATAGAAACCTGGAAGCTTTAGACAATCTTCCTGTAGTTTACATTGTATACAATATAAAAGGTGTGCGTCAAACTATGTGATATGTTCTGTATTATGAAAGTTAGTGTATGAGCCTTCTCATCAATCTAAATAAATTAATAAAACGCACTTTTATTATTATTATTATTTTTTATTATTTGCACTGCACCTGTGATTAAGTAGTATAGGTACCTATAATGGATGTTATCGATAATGATTTGTCTGTCATGAATTACCAATCAGTAAATCAGTAAAATCTAAGCTGTTTTCATCGAATCTTTTCAAAATGTTCGACCAAGACCTGTAGGTAATGGGAAATGATGTTCATTTGGTCCAAAATTAACTAAAAATTACCGAAAAATACTTGACCAGTTTACCTTATGTTACAGGAGAAATATTATATCATATTTCACAATATGGATTTGATTCATAAAAATGTGGTTGTAACAATTTATTATGTATTTTAAATTATTTTATGCATATTAATTGGCTAATTTGCATATTATTATAACTGTAACCGATTGTTTGAAACAAATCCTTAAAAATGATACCCTCTCCACGCAGCAAGATGAGTTTAGCAGACTGCTTGTGCTCGTAATTAAGTTGTTCATACACTGACTAATTGCATGATAAGAGTTTTAAGAATATGTTAGTATTTTCATGTTGTGATTTGGTGTTGTTATTCTTTACAGGAAACTCGTTATAATAGGGTACAGTTTGATTTGAAATCAAGTGAATTGTCGTTGAGTGCCATATTTTCACAACTTGAAATTATGAAACAAAGCATTGATATTGAAGATTACTCTGTTAGACAGACCACACTGGATGATGTAAGTTTTTAACAGAGATATCATGAAATTTATTGTGGAATTAAAACTATTTGTTATGATGGGAATTCACCAGTAGATGAATTTTGTACAAACCATACTGCACTCATTTACATATTGTGTGTCTATTATTAGGTTTTTATCAACTTTGCTAAACAACAAAGTGAGCCACCATCATCTGGTACTGAGCATTTGGTTGATACAAGTAGTGAAGTGAATGATTTGATGTTACAACCATTTCCACCAGAAGATGACTCATCTATTCTAGTTTACCGGTAGTTTCTTAGCAATGACACTGAACATTGTGCTAGGGAAATGACAATAAATCACATTGGATTCTGATTTATCTCATAGATTACTTGTACAATAATCAATTGTATAATGGATGGTAAATAGTGCGATATACATTGCATGACATACCTAATATGGTAAATCATGTGATGTGTAACACCTAATATGGTAAATCATGTGATGTGCAACACCTAATATGGTAAATCATGTGATGTGCAACACCTAATATGGTAAATCATGTGATGCAATATTATTGAGTTGATCATGTTAACTCAATCTAACTATAATTCTTACCAGATTTTGAATTGTTTATTAATAATACTGTAAATTTTATTTGAAGAAATTGAAGTTTATTTTCAATTGAACATATTTTTTATATATATCATACATACAAGTCAGATTAGGTTTGAAATCTGTATTTACACACACAATATTTTGTATTAAATTTTAAATATGCATATTTTTTTTATTTGTGTACTAAAACCACAAAACAGTTTAATTGAGTTAGTCTCACATCATGCAAATAATGTTTTTTATACATTCTCAGGTTTGTAATATATTTAAAATTTGTTGTAAAACATTCCATTTTTTTTCAAATAATATAAATGAAAAATAGTGAATTTTGTCATGAAATCGGTGTGGAAAGTATGCATATTTTTTTTTTCAGGGTGTGATTTAACCATGTTTTTCATGAAACGTGCTGATGAGGCAATATTTTTTGGCATACCATTGTTGAGGTTTCAGGAGCTTCAATGGTTGAAAAAAAAAATTTCAGCTTCCATGTGTGTAACCAGAAGAGCTTTTGTTTTTCAGTGATTTGTGTGCATAAATAAACAAATGAATAAATAAATTGTGAATTATGTTGATTATTGCTTTATTATGTACAAAACTGAAACCTTCATCATTTCTAGAAGACCTGTTTTTCTAAACTTTTTACAAGCACCAAAAATATGATATACATTGAAAGTTTCTGCTATACAAAACAGACAAGAAGTGAAATAAAAAATAAGCAGACATTATTTGCATATTTAAAGAATCTGTTACTTCTAATAAGTGAGAATTAAGGTGGTATTAAAATACAGTGCTATATTGAAAAAAAAAATAAGTGTAATCAAAATTTTGCTCACCAAATTAGATAAAGAATCCTTGTTTTAAACGGTGTGCAAAATTTTGTTTGCATTTTTTTTTTCAATATAGCACTGTATACCACTTTTAAGTATAAATATTAAATACTACCCATCTTTATTTAAAGTGCGAGTCCTTAGCTGTTTCAAGAAGATATTTTGCTCACCAATTACGACAATGATTCTTATCTTATTTGGTGAGCAAAATTTGCTGACTTACAATTTGCTCACCAGTCTGCCTAAACCCTATTTGTGACCAACCCAATACTGGAAGAGTAAACTGAATATACATACATTTAACAAAAATTGCATAATACTGTCTTATATCATGCAACCACCCATCTCCATACAATATCTCTTTGGTCACCACAACAATGTTTCTGACACAATATTTTCTTGCATTCAAAAGTTAATTAAAAGATAGACCCATAAGGTCTAAAATTAAAACTACTGATTTGTATTATACACTGTATAACTCAACTATGGATATCTGGATCATCTACTTCGGTAAATTCACTTGACTGTTCTAAGTCAGATTTAAGTTCATAAACCACCATGACTTGTTGCTTTGGTCTTGATACTGGGAGCCATTTATGTGTCAAGTCTTGTCCATTAGGGACCAACCAGCTATAGTGATTCAAGAGGTACTTACAAACAGTCTAGAGGGGAAATATAAATTAGATATTATCGAACTTTGATCTGATAAAGTCAAAACTTCAGACAAGTGCACATACATTTGTCTCATGATCAGATTTGAGACGGCCTAAAATGCTGTACAGTGTTGGATTTTATTAGTACATTATTGAACATAATGAGACCATCATACATTTGAGTTCAAATCAGATGACTGCCATCCATTTTTTTTTTAAAAGAATACATGCCAAGTTCAAACTTCACACATACATCATAACGGAAAAACACATTTTTGTTAGCATCAAATCCAAAATGGCTGACTGATGGCCATCTTGTTTTATTAAGTGATTGCAGTTCCAAAGAGTTATATTATGCATATCGCCTTGGTAGTCATTTGATAATTCATGCTTATACTGTAAAATAATTTATTTTAGCTGGAATTAATTTTTACACTGAAAAAGACATATTGGCTTCTTTGTATGGCGTTTTTTTTTCACTGATTGTTGATGAGTGTAATGTAAAATACAGTATATCGGTAAAGATATGTACATGCACTGACTCATTCCTTCAGTGAAAATGCCAATAACTTCAAAGTAAAAATAAAGCACATGTAGTTTACAGTAATACTGTGTCATTGACAAAGACTTGTTTTAAATTATGGCATTCTAATGAGTGAGAATGTGAGAAAAACAAATCCAAATACTGTATTTACTCTATTAGTAGCGCATGTACTTGATAAGGTGTCTAGTCAAAATAAGTTGGATTATTAATGTTCTAGAACACAATACATGTAACACTTGATTTACAGCGCTTCCAATGGAGCAAATGCTAAACTAAGTTGTGCATTAGTGGCCAAACAGAACAGCAATCAAATAATCCAATTCGCCCCCACCAATCTGTCAAATAACAGAATAAATTTAACTACTATATATACATGTTCTAGTTTAAATGTAATATTGATTTCTATGACAACTACTCAGTTTGTCTCACCTTCAACATTCTGTTCATTAAACTTGAACCTACGCAGTCTCTTGGTCCACCTCCAAAACAACTCAAATAGTTTTCATTACCAGCGTTACTATGATGTAAACAGAGAAAAAAATAAATTTATCAAAAGTTATTCAGTTCACAGAAATTTAAAGGGAAAGATTTATACCTGTATATCACCAGAAAATTATTGAAAATGAACAGTCAAATTTTGCATTCGTTTATATGGCGACATGATTACTTCTAAAAAAAAAAAATGTTGGCGATATGGAATGGATTTAGTGGAAATGTTATTCATGCCAAAAATTAAGTAATATGAACCAAAAACATAGTAATTGAAAATGAACAAGCCATGCATGGCACAGTCCCCGTTAGTTATCAAATTTAAGATATAAAGTTTTGTTTATAGTAATATAGCTGGAATATAAACATGACAGGAATATGATGATTGTTTAACATTTAAATGATTGACATTTGTATCTGATCGTCAAATGAGTATTGAGAGATATCGCTCTAGAACAGCATTAATTAAAACAAAATCAGCCATTATGAATATATGTATAATGAATATATGAAATTTGAACATAGTCAGTCAAAGCATGTCAGAGATATGGCTCTAGAAGCCCATTCATTAAAACAAAATGGCCACTAGCCAGCCATTCAGAATATGATCTAAAAAATAAAACAATTTTTTTAGCACAAAAATAGCCACCATTAGGCCACTTTGAAAAGGATCGTCAAACCAATATATCCGTATATCTGTGACATG